TCAAGTTCTGTAAAAAATTGTATTCGAATTTTGGTGGGAGTTGCATCTGTACATTGCTTTTGGTAAGATGGCCATTTTTACTATGTTAATCCTACTGATCCATGATAATGGGAGATCTTTCCATTTTCTAATATCTTCTTTAATTTCTTTCTTTAAAGCTTTAGTTCACTTTTAAAATATTTGTTTGCTTTCCTAGGTGTCGTCCTTTACAGTTTCAGCCATCAAAATCTCACAAGAAAGTTTTGAAAAAAATGCTGAAATTTCTGGCTAAAGGAGAGATTTCGAAAGGCAGTTGTGAGGGTAAGATGAGATTTGGTTTGGAAACTGTTTACTGTAAACTAATGTGTCTTTCCAAGGCTTCCACTTTCACAAGTCTAACTCAGTCAGGTAGAAGAAGGAGGTCATTATAATATAATCTTAATACCATAAGACCAGTGACATGGTAACACTACTTTTTGTCTCACTAGACTCCAAAATAAGGATTTAGAAAATACATACAGGGAGAGTTTATCCTTGAAAGAAAATTGAGGGTTATTGTAAAGTTGTTATGATGCTTTTTTTTTTTTTGAATTGAAATCTATTTTATTTTTTAATTTTCATTTTAATTTATTTATTTTACATCCCGGTCGTAGCCCCCTCCTTGTACTCCTCTGGGTCCCATGCACGCTGCCTTCCTGTTTTCTCTTTTCCTCTTCTACTCTTCAGTGAAGGGGAGCCTCCCGCTCCCCTTCCCCCCACATATCAAGTTGTATCAGGACTGAGCACATCCTCTTCTCCTTGAAATGTCTTTTATTCAAATGCTTTGACAACCTATCTGACTTGATCCTAATGATATTATTGTGATGTAAATAGAGGAGCAGATGCTTAAATGAGTGTGTACAAGATTGAATAGTTACTTTGTCAGGTAAAGACCTGGTGGGACCAAGGAGAGATGACTCATCAGGCTGAAGTACTAGTTGTGCAAGCCTGACTACCTGAGGTGGATCCTGGAATCCAGGTAAAAAGCCAGAGGTAGTGTTGTGCCTTTGTATCCCAGCGTTTCGAGTGGAGATGGGAGCCGGTGATGAAAGCATTGCCCCAAGCTTGCATCGCAGGGCACAGGCTTGGTGCACACAGCACACTGCAGGGGAAAAAAAAAAAAAAGAGATCCTCATTCACAAACTAGGTAGAAGGCAATGACTGACTTCTGAAAGTTGTCTTCTGTCCTCCACATAAAGAGCATACATGACACGCACAATTAAAAATAACGCTTTTTTATATTACTAAATGGAATTTTATGAAATTGTCTCAGTTATCTGATGAATTTTAAATTATCAGTGTCTTACCTTTTCATATTTCTTTTTAAGTGTTTTAACTTTTAAACCTCTAAGCTCTCCTGTAAGTGATACCAAATATGGGGAGTATAAAAATTGGGAGTGTCATTTTCTGAGCTCTCTCTCACTACTGCCATAGGAAGCACCTAGAACTCCCTACCCAGGCTTAGCTTATTCATCCATTCCACAAGTAGGTTTTGAATGCTGGTGGGCTTTGTGGTCACTGTCTTAAGCACTGGAGAGACAGTGGACAGCTCAGCAGGTACGTTTTTTGGCTTCATGCACTGTCCTGAATAGAAAACTTAGAGTAGGCTTGACTTAGCTGGGGTCAGTAAAGAGGCCAGAAGGCTTGGTGTTAGAGGTTAAGCTAATTAAAGCCTTGGAAATAGTTTTGGTGTAGCTCTAATGGAGTATTATATGTACATAATTATAAGGATTAAATAAGTTTTGAGTTTCTTTTGGTGTCTAGAAATCACAGCCCATATATAAATTGATGATTGCTTATGTTTTCATGTGGCTTGTACATTTGGCTCTTTGTTTAACTTGCTATTGGCTTCTCAGTTGTGTCTAAAACTAATTTCATAGGGGGCCATGAGGGAGTTTTTGAAATCTTAAGTCACAGTTTCGTTTAAGTTAGACAAAATTTGCGTAGATTGCATCATTGGGAGCTTGACCACAGCTGGCACAGTGACTGGTCCATTCTCCTGATAGAGTGCCATGTCGCAGGTATAGTAGCTCCCTTGCTTTGGAAGGCGGGACTTGGACTTGATAGATACATTGCAGTAACAGTGTTACAATTACAGAATCTTAGGTATGTCACATAATACAGCTGATGATGGGTTTTCTTTTTTTTTTTATCTCCTTTGTAGATGAGCCTATGGATTCCACAATGGAGGATGCTGTTGCTGGTGACTTTGCATTGATGAACAAGTTGGATATAAAGTGTGATCTTAAAACACTCAGCAGTGACCTCAAAGGAAGCATAGAGAGTGAGGAGAAGAAAGAAAGTATAAAGAAAGAAGCATCTAAAGAATTAATTCACCCACAAGCTATAGAGGAGAAGTTGGGCTCTGGTGAACCATCACATTCAATCAAAGTTCATACTGGTCCTAAGCCAGGTAGTGTATATTTTGTATCAGTTGATAGTTACACCTAGAGACTTTGATTAGATTTCCTTCTGTTGTTTCTTTGGAAGTGTGTCAGGGTAGGGTTATTTCTTTTCTTTTCTCTTCTTTTTGTTTCTTTAAATTTGGGTTTGTGAAGGCTAGAAAGATGACTCAGAGGTTAAGAGCACTGGCTGCTCTTCCAGAGGTCCTCGAGTTCAATTCCCAGCAACCATATGGTAGCTCACAACTATCTCTAATGAGATCTGGTGCCCTCTTCTGGCCTGCTGTATACAAAATAAATAAATCTTAAAAAAAAAAAATTGGATTTGCAAGATAGGTTTTCTCTGTAGCCTTGGCTGTCCTGGAACTGACTCTATAGACCAGGCTGGCCTTGAATCAGAGACCAGCCTGCTTCTGCCTCTCGAGTGCTGGAATTAAAGGCATGCTCTGCCACACCTGGCTTTGGGGAAAATATTAATCACATTAGTTAATTATTTATTTGAGGACAGGTAAAATTGCTTTAGGGCTGGTTACAGGAAATATGCAGTGCCTGGGTGCCTCTTTTTTTTTTTTTTTTTTTTATTTCTTTAGAACAGTATTTTTTTTTTTTTTTTTTGGCTTTTTTAAGAGAGGGTTTCTCTGTGTAGCCTTGGGTGTTCTAGAGTGAGTGGTGCCTAAATGAATGGTTTATTGCTTATTTCCTGCTTGGGATTTTCTGTGGAGATACTCTCACATACTTACTTCATAAAATTTCAAAGGCAGCATAAATTCTTGATTCTTTTAATTACCATTTTTCATATTAACATGTAAAATTGACCAGTTAGACTTGATATCATGAACTCATGAAATGTATTTTCCTTGTTGCCTTGCACTGCTTTTGCAACAGCTCTTAAAAATTGACATCTGCATCCTTTGACACAGTCTTTGTAGTCTGAAAGCTTCCTTACTCTGATATGAAGATCCTGAGTCATCTTGTTCCTGCCCTTCGTCAGTTTGCTCTTGTCCTCTTGCCCAGAAAGCTGGAGATTGTAAACTAGACCTAAAGTCTATATTATTACACCTAGCTTAGTCTTTGCCCTCTAGGTCTTTTCAGGGAATAGAGTTAGGGGTCATGAGTACATAGTGACACGTCTTTGTAAATTTGTGATTGTAGTGTTTCTTTGTCTTACTGCTTAGTTTCATTTTGGTTTTACAGTTGTATTTTCTTTCTTCCACACTGAGAAACCTGGCTATTGGTTAGATTGGAACATCACATGACTATTTGTTTATCCCATAGAACATAACAGTTTTTAGGTTAATAATAACTACCTTAGGGATGGAGAGATGGCTCTATTGGTAAAGTTTTGGGATACCCAGGCCTATGTAATAGGGCAGGGATAGCAAAGTATGCCTGTAATATTCTGAGGAGGCAGAGAACACTGATTGCTATTGCTTGCTGGTCAGCTATTTTTGTTGAATCACTGAGCAGGTTCAGTGAGAAGCACTTATTAAAAAAATGTGACATGTGCTGTCCATATATTCTTGGGTATATGGCTTTCACTAACAGAGCCCTATACCTTAAAACTGCCTTTCCCTCTCCCAGCAGCTGTCAGTTGCCACTTTGTGTCCAGCTCCCTTCTCTATGTTGGGGTTCTTGCCTGGCTTGAGTTTGCTTAGGTCTTACACATGCTGTCTCATCCACTGTGAATCCACGTGTGTAGTTGCCCTGCTGTGTCTGGAAGACAGTTTTCTTCTAGCTATCCACACTCACTGACTCTTACAATGGTTCCACCTGCCTCTCCTACAATGATCCCTAAGCCTTAGAGAAGAGTGTGCACTATAGATTTCTCCTTTAGGACTAAGCATTCCACTGTCTTTTATTCTCTGTACCTTGACAGTTGTGGTTTCCTTCTCTCCCTTTTCTGAAACAAGGTCTGGCTATGTAGTCCTGACTAGAACCCACTGTGGGCTGGCCTAGAGTTAACATATCCACCTGCCTCAGCTCCTCATGTACTGGAATTAAAGGGGTGAGCCTGCACACTCAGTTTTAAAGAGCTATCAGTTAATACATGATATTTTAATTAGAACAGAATTCATTAATCTGAACTCTCTGAGCACTAATTGGAGACCCAAATATGTTAAAATGAGCAAGGATTCTTCTTAATTAAAAGAAACATCATAGCCATCATCCATCAGAGTACTTCTGGATTCAGAATGTCCCTAGAAATATAGGCCAGAGAGGAGAAGATCCTTGAAGTATTGGTGTTTACTTGCAGAAGCAGAAAAATGGGCAGATATTTAAAAGGGATAGATGAATAGATGAACAAATGAGTGCCTTTCAATAAGAGAGCTGCCGTGAGATGTTTGTGTGAATAAATTGCCTTCTTTGACTGCTCCTGTCTCTAGGATAGAACTTTAATGATCCTGCGAAACTTCAGGGTAAACTTTGGCTTACTCTATATAATCTGGAAGATTAAAAAAAAACATTTCTAGATCCAAATGACAGTGGTCTAATATTTTGACATTCTTTTTAGGTAAAGGGGCTGATTTGAGTAAGCCTCCATGTCGAAAAGCAAAGGAAATGCGGAAAGAAAGGAAAAGGTTAAAACTCATGCAGCAGAACTCAGCTGGAGCCTTTGAAGGTTTCCAGGCTCAAGGTCAGCCAGTATCTTTGTTACCAAAGGCTAAAACCAACCAGCCCAAGTCACTTGAAGATTTGATTTTTGAGTCTTTACCAGAGAATGCATCACACAAATTAGAGGTACTTGGAGGGTTTTGTGGCTGGTTATATTTTGTTTTGTGTTGGGTACTTTCTTTGAGCTAGTACTTACCAGTTGATATTTTAGTATTTAGCATGTGTGTTACAGTAAATCAACTGCTATATGAGAAAATTCTTTTAAGAGCTTTTAAAAATATTTTAGGTGACTAATAAAATTACTTAAAAGAATTCAGTTGTAGCATGTTAACGGTATTCAGGCTTTTGTGTTACTTGATTGCAATTAAGTAGTTTATAGAAACAAAAATATTGTAAATTAATTTTATTTTAGAAATTAAAATGGTAAAAGATAGTCTAGATATTAAAGGACTAGATTATAATAAGCAAATTGGTTTTATCATAATATTCCAATCTTGGTCTTAATCAAGGTAGTTAGCACCAATGTCATGTATACAAACCTGTATTAATTTATACTACTGTGTTAGTCGGTGTTACTATTGCTGTGATGAAACACCATGACGGAGAAGCAGGTCAGGGAGGAAAGGGATTAGTTGGCTATACTTCCACATCAGTGTTCATCACTGAAGGAAATCAGGACAGGAACTCAAGCAAGGTAGGAACCTGGAGGCAGGAGATAATGTAGAGGCAGTGGAGGGGTGCTGCTTACTTGCTTGCTTGCTTTCTGTGGCTTGCTCAGCCCCCATTTTTTAGAACCGAGGACCACTAGCCCATGGATGGCATCATCCACAATGGGCTGGGCCCTCCCTTACCAATCATTAATTTACAAAATGCCCTACAGCCATTTTCTCAGTTGGGGCTCCCTCCTCTCAGATAACTCTAGCTTCTGTCAAGTTGATATAAAATTAGCCAGCACAACTACCAGATTCTTTTTCATTAAGAAATCCCAGCCAGTTTAGCTAATTTTTTTTTGTGCTAAATTTGCATTTTTCACAAACTATTTCATATTGCAACAACAAACTAAGTTTTTAATATTAATCATATACGTTAAAATTATCTTCTAAAACACTAGCCATAACATTGTAAAAATGTTCTGCTTGATTTGAATTTGTAGCTTAGTATTATTCAAGGATATTAATGCTAATCTTGATGGGGCTGAAGAGATGGCTCAGTGGGGAGGAGTGAAGACCTGAGTTTGAAGCATGGCTGTGTGTGCCCTTGTCCCTAGCTCTGTGGGGTTTAGACAGGCAGCTCTCTAGAGCTTGTTGGCTAGCCAACCCACCTAGCCAACATGGTGAGCTTCTGGGTCTGTGAGAGGCATTAAGATTAGAGCAGCAGAGCTACATTCAGCTTGCCAAACAGAGGCACATGTACCCACACACCCCTGTACACGCACTGCACACACACTGACACGCAAATTTTAAAAGGTTTGCTAAATATATTTATTAGCAGACAAATTTTAACAACTTTGACTATTATAGCCACTTGTTACTTTGATAATAGGTATTGACTTTTCCTCTTTCCAGAATTGACTATACTACTTAAAATACAAAAAGGCTTTTATCCTTTGATCATAAGTAGTGTATTCAGGGAATCAACCATACCTCAAATAACAGTTGCGCAGGTATCGGCATTTACATGTTAAATATGGTAGTGCCCAGGATGTGAGTGACTTGTTTTCTGACGGGTGGCACTCTTTTTCCTTTTCCAACATGAAATGCCAGGTATGCCCTCATTGTATTGCATGTAAGTTCCTTTTGTTGCTTTTCTACTAATACATCTAACTGTTAGTAATTAATGTTAAGATAAATGTTAGCTAATCTTGTACACAGTTACCATTTTTAACTTACCCTCATTTAAGGCCCAGAAAGAAATGCCCAAGATGTTGACATTGAAAGACAAGTGTAGAGGAAACACGAGAGTCTGCATCTAACTACAGTGAAGCGCACACACTTTTGTGAGAATTTAATTTCATAGATACACAGTTGTAGGTTTAGAGTTAATGATGACTAAAGGTACCCAAAGGTATATTTATAGCTTTTGGTGTTCTGACTTTTAGTAAAATTAGAGAGTGTTTGTGTTATCAGAGCTAAGAGAAATGTGTCAGTTTACAGTAGAGATTGATGTATTTAATTTGTTAGAGGTGAGGCTTAAATTTAGAGGGGATCCTTTTTTTCTTTAAGTAGACTGTAGATTGCAGCAATAACTTTTTCTTTATTTGCTAACTTAGTTGATTTTTAATGTTAAAATATATGTTTATGCTTTAATGTTCTTGAAACGTCCTTTTTTAAATTGAGAGTTTTTGTTAGTGTATATTCTGTAGAACTGAATCAGTGAATGAATTAATGAACATTGTCTTTTAACTCCTTCTGAAGGTGAGGGTGGTGAGATCTTCTCCACCGAGTCCTCAGTTCAAAGCCACATTTCAGGAGTCTTACCAGGTCTATAAGCGTTACCAGATGGTTATTCACAAGGACCCACCTGATAAACCAACTGTGAGCCAGGTCAGCAGGCCAAGTATGAGATCTTGGTATAATTGTACTATATTTTTTTTTATATCCAGTTTGTAGCATATCTGCACAATGATAAGACTGAGTGAGTGGACATTCTGTAAATGTTAATTCACTATTGTCAGGTTAAGTGCCAGTCATACATAATTTCAAAGTGGAAAGTCACACAAGAAGTTGCCTTTATTCAAAGCTGCTATGTCTGGACACATTTATCTACAAATCGGTTATAGAGCTTCCAGTTAAATACCCATGAGAGCAAGGTGTGTTTGGCCTGGTGTGTTGTTACTCTTCATCCATGTTGGAGAGTCATCTAGGAAGAATTCATAGCAGCTCAGTTATTTCTTATTAATGGAGTACCTGCATAAAACAGAGATTGGCCAGAAAAGGAAGAATGTAGAGGTCTTTAATAGACATCCTTGTCCACTTATAATTTTATATAGCAGATGATTAAAAAAAAAAAAAAGTCCAGGAATGAGAAAAGCCTAAACCACTTCATTCAGTAGAGGTGGCAGATGTGCTCAGACCAGTTAGCACCAGTAACTAGTATGTGAAAGCACAGCTGGTGATAGGGAAGAACCAAAGTAGAAACAAATTGTCTGTCTGGCTCTTGTGAATTTAAGGTTTTCTTGAATGTTGGTAGAAAGTTGGCGCTCAGGCCTAGTGCCTCTCAGCTCCTGCTGTTTTATGACAGATTCTAGGGCTGAACTTTGGAAGCAGTTTGAGGGGATCTCCCTCTAGCCTCACCTTCAGAGCAAGGAAAACATAAGCCAATGCTATTGAACCAACTCTGCCTATTAACATGATTCTGAAGGTGAGGCTAGTCCCTGCCTCCTTTGAGGACCCAGAGTTCAAGTCATCCTTCAACCAGTCCTTTTCTTTATATGCCAAGTATCAAGTGACCATACACCAGGATTCACCTATTGAATGTGGAAAGACTGAGGTACTGTCTCTTAAACGTTTTCCCCTGTACTGATATATCTTAACTGTTAAGTAAAGCTGATGACTCTGAGTGTCTCTTAATGAGCTTTTGTGGAAAAGATTCTACCCTACTATTTTACATCTTTTAATAAAAAAATAATTGTAAATTCAAGAGGTTTTCTCGCCAGAAACCTGAATATAGCATTACTAGGGTTTTGTCCTCCAGCCTAAGTCAGCAGACATTTACTGACTACCTTAGAACGGACGGTGCAGACCTGTTGAGATTATTGTATCCAGCATTGTCTGACAAGCACTTTTGGAGGGCCTCCATTCTCCAGGCTGTGGATCTTAAATGAGTGAGAGATTGTGCAGTTGTAACAGTGAGACAGTAGTGTGTTGAAATAAAGGCACCAGCAGGTACAGAGGTGATATGACCCTGAGTCAGGCATGGGCAGATGAACAGGACTGCACCTGGACTGCAGGAGAGAAGGGTGTTCCTGGCGGTAGTTGAGACATGCTCAGCAGTGTTCAGGCTGAGCTGTGAGCTGTGCTGGAGGAACCACCACTCAGTGCAGTTTAGTCGGAGCGTTGGCCGGGTGCCAGGCGGTAGAACGAACGGGCTGTGCAGATTTAGCTAGGAGCACTAAACACCGTTATCCATTTTCAGCTGTTCTTAGCATGCTGCATTCTTATTTTTGTCTCCTCGTTCATACTTTTTGCTATTGTATGAGATTTTTCCCAAATCTTAGTCACTGTACCATTTCGTCTGTAAGTACTTTAGTGTCTTGACTTACTAAAAATGTCTGATAATGAGCTAAGACAATCTAGAAAGAATTAAAAACATGTACAGAATGCTTTAGTTACTGAGAAAAAAAAATCAACTTAGCAGGCAAAAGAAACCAAAGTTAAACTTTTTTTTTCTTGTACTAGATATTGAACCTTGTACATAATAGGCAAGCATCCTACCACTGAGCTACAATTTAGCTCTTGAAGTGATACTTTTTTAATTTTTTTTTTACTTGTACATTTAATTTATAACTAGCTTTATTCCTCTTGGGAATATCAGGTTTGTATCTTGAGCTCATTGTTTTCCAGCGGCAGTTTTCTGTACAATAGTTTAATCTCAGACTGACTCATGGTGGTAGAGATGAATGCTGTTATTTTAGGGCTCCTCCTTCTAACAGTCTTGACCTCAGCTTTGAAAAACCAACATGATTCTTTCCAGATGGCTTCAGTGAAAAAGTTACAAGATGTCCTGCCTGGTCACTTAAGGTATACTCTTTCCTAGAGCCAGCCACAGAAGAAGCTGGGGCAGTGAGGAATTGAACATACCTGGGAGGAAGAGGCTCTTTACCTTAACCACAAGTCTTGAGGAGGAGGGAGTGGTTACTAGCATGCTGGATCTTCTAAGATCCTGCCTGGTGTGAAGTCACCGTGGTGGCTGACATACGGAGGAAGTCTTTTTCAAGAATGGGAAGTGTCAGGGCAGAGCCCAGAAGGCTTGATGGATTATCTCTGTCCTTTTGTTCCTCTGATTCTTTTTAGTGCTTTCTTTCGTAATACATGATTCATTTCTTGTATGACATTTAAAATCCTTTTAAGAATTTTTAATTTAAATTTTTGATACATAGAAATATCTTAAAGGTGCCTAATATAGAACTTCTCTTGTGGATTTTACTTTATAGGGTCTACTTCAGATTTATAATAACTTTATTCCTTATAGGTACAAAAAAGTGTTACTTATGTGTAGCTCTTGTCTAGTTCCTCTTGTCTAGCCCCTTTTTGTGCCATTCTTTGTTATGAAAGTTATATTTTATGTGATTTTAAATTTATAAATATAAGATATAATTTTATATAATTATATAATTTATAGAGTTAATTTTATATAATGTCTTGGAGCTGGAGAAATGGCCCAGTGGTTAAGAATAAGTAGTCTTTCAAAGAACTTGAGTTTGTTTCCTAGCAAGCCATGTAAGGTGCTTCATTACCAAGTATAACTTTACCTACAGAGGATGCAAAAGCCTCTCTGGTCTCCTCAGGCATGCACACGTGGCAGACTTTCATGCACATGATTGAAAATAAGAAAAATAAGCCTTAAGAAATGTCTGTCTTTTATAAACTGAGAAGCGGGATAAGAATAAGTAATTATTGGAGCTGGAGAACTGGCTTATTTGATTCCCAGCACCCACGTGGCAGCTCACAAACAGCTTTACCTCTAGCCCTAGAGCGACTTGATGCTCTCTTCTGACTTCTGCAGGCTCTACATGCATGTGATGCACAGATACACTTGCAGACAAAACACCTGTAGACATAAAAATTAATACATTTTAAAGAGTATCCACAATTTGTTCTGTTAACTGTATTTTCTTCTTTTGCCTTTTATTTGTTCTTATGGATTTAAGACAGTGGTTCTCAACCTTCTTAATACTGTGACCCTTTGACACAGTTCCTCATGTTGTGGTGACTCCTAATCGAAAAATTATTTTCATTGCTATTTCATAACTGCTACTATCATGAATTGTAATGTAAATATCTGTGTTTTCCGATGGTCTTAGGTGATCCCTGTGAAAAGGTTGTTCAGTCCCAAGGGGTCATGACCACAGGCTGAGAACCAGAGTTAAGACCTCTTATAATGGTTTCACTTCCTAACTGTAATGCAGTTTTACAACCCTGACCAGTTTCGTTACAGCCTTACAGTCACTGCACTCATATCTGTGTGTTAGTGCCCCAACAAAACAAGTATGCACACACTATTTTTACAGCTGCTTTTTAAAATCAGAGGCAAAGAAAAGAGTACACCCTCGTGTTTGAGCCTCCTCAGAGGCTCAGCCGTGGGGCATATGTGTAGTCATTCAGTGACAGTGGCTTCAGTAGTATTCTGTCTCTTCCCTTGATCTTTTCAAATGTTTGCTTCTGTTGGCTTCATGTGTAGCTTTTATGCTCTTGTGGTTGTTTTGTTTTCAGCAGTGCTTTGAGGTGAATGCTGCTTTGCAGTCAGATGTAATTAAATCTGGATTTCTTGGCTGGGGCAGTTTTTGAGGGCAGTCATTGAGGTCTGCTGTGATCTGAGAGGGTTCTTTCAGTTGTCTTTTTTTCTGCTTCTCTCTGTTAAGCCACTGGCCTAAGTTTAGCTGTTGTTCAGAAGGACCTTCTGGCTTCCTAATTGCTAACCACCATAATCTCCACTATTGTCAATAGTATTTATGCTTCAACTCCCCCATACTTCATCCCAAGTACAGCCAGTTCCTTTGGGCACAGAGAAGACTCTCCCTTCTTTATCCTCCTGCTCAAAGCTCATTTGGCTTGTGCAGAATTGTTCTGGGTTTTTTGTGTTTGTTTTTTGTAGCTTTGGGCACTGTACACAGTTCAAAGCTTTAGTCTTCTCCAAAGAGAAGTAAATGGAGCTCCTGACTCCCAGGACCTCCCCACTGACCCAGTGATAGCTGTGTGTAAGGGGTGGTTTTCGTCGTGATACCCGCTGCATCCCATCCTGGGAGTCATTACTGCACATGCCAAGGTGTGACCTCTGTCTGTGGACCGGCCACTCAGAGAAAGGGATTTGGGCATGCTGCTTTGTTCTTCCCGGTAGTGAACTATGTTTTATATGGGGGTAAAAAAAAGCTAATTTTTACATGAACTCCAAGAGAAATTTCCCCTTGTATATGATTTCAATTTTCTTTATGAGCAAGTAGCTGGTATACTGTGCTCCATGAGGTGAAAAGAAAACTTTTTTTTTTTTTTCCAGAGCTGAGGACCGAACCCAGGGCCTTGTGCTTGTCCGGCAAGCGCTCTACCACTGAGCTAAATCCCCAATCCCATTTTTTTTTTTAAGCTTTTAATGTTATTTTTTGAAAATTTTTTTTTCCTGACTTGTTTTAAGATACTCTATAGTAACTCATGAAAGTGGGTGTAGTTTTGTTAAAGTAATGGAGAACTATTTTTTTCTTCTTCTCTCTTTTTTTTTTTTTTTGCTTTTCTGTTGTAAGAAAATTAAAACAATAGTTTCTCATTAGTATACAAAATCCATTTTTGGCTATGTTGTTAATCATAAAATAGTTCCTTCAACTCCTTCAGAGGTTATTTATTTATATATATATTTTTAGAAATTTGATAAAAAGATAAATATAGATTGTTAGATATTCCTGATAGAAAGTCAGTTTTTCTTTCAGTAGCATCTTTAGGAAATTATCATGTAGTTGGACATAGAAAGATTGCATAGGTTTTAAAACTTAATCCAGTGTGTATTTCCAATGTGATTTTCATTCAGGCAGGTGTCAGATTTTCAGAAAATAATTTTTATAAATAAAATAGGTGATGTATGACCTACCTTGTGTATAATACAGTACAAAGATAACATTTAAGAATATTTGCTTAGCTGGGCACAGTGGCGCACGCCTGTAATGCCAGCAGTCAGAGAGGCAGAGGCAGGCGGATCTCTTTGAGTTCGAGGCCAGCCTGGTCTACAAAGCAAGTCCAAGACAGCCAAGGCTATACAGAGAGACCTTAAAAAGCCATAGTTTTATATAAATATAAATGTGCTTTTTTGCTGAAAATTTGATGCTGAATTCTAGAAAAATGCAATTATTTAATAAAAATTCTTTCCTAAAATAATTACAGTGACTTTTCTAGCTCTTTTTACTTATCTCAGAAGCTGTGGTCATAGCCCTGGTGGCATCAGATTTCATAGTGACTGATTGTTTTCCGGTGAGTGTTTCCCAGCACAGAAAAGCTGAAAGACAGTGTCCTCATGCCCATGTGTCCATCCTCTAAGTTGAGCCCTGTTAGTTTTTTCCTGTGTGAACATTTTTTTTTTCTTCTCCTGAGATGGAGTTTTTCTGTGTAGCCCTGGGTATCTTGGATTTACTTTGTAGACCAGACTGGCCTCAAACTCACAGAGATCAGCCTACCTCTGCCTTCTGGGTGCTGTGAGTACAGGTGTGTGCCGCCGTGCCCACTATTGTGTGAAGCATTTTAACTTATACATCTGAAATTTCACTACTAAATTCATCAGCAAGCATTTTT